AGGCGCGGGCGCGGGCGCCGGTGCTCGGTCCAACGGTTGGACCGGCCCCTCGGCCTCCTTCCCGCCTGCCGTGCTGCGCCTGACCGGGCCTGGCCTGGCTTGGCCTACAGGCGGCCTTCGCCTTGCCACTCGCCTTCCCCGCACCTCTTCGACCACCGAGCCTCTCTGCCTTGCCTCCTTTCCATCTCTCCCTCTCTGTCTCCCCATCCATCGCTGCGTCGCTCTTTCTGTCGATCCCTCTCTTCCCTTCGACATCACATCGAAACCCCACTGCACCTCCCCCAATCGTCCACCGACCACCAACGCCAAGATGCCCAAGGACCACGCACCCGAGGTGATGCCCGAGCTGGGCGCCACTTCTCTCTTCTCGCTCGCCGGCAAGACGGCGCTCGTGACGGGCGGCGGTTCGGGCATCGGCAAGATGATCAGCGCCGCCTACGTCCGCAACGGGTGCAAGGTCTACATCGCCTCGCGCAAGCTCGACGAGCTGCAGCGCGTCGCCGCCCAGCTCTCCAAGCTCGCCCCCGAGTCCGAGACGCGCAAGCGCGGCGACCTCTGCGTCGCCATCCAGGCCGACGTCGGCTCCAAGGAGGGCTGCGACCAGCTCGCCGACCAGATCAAGAAGCGCGAGCAGAGGCTCGACATCCTCGTCAACAACTCGGGCCTCACCTGGGGCGCACCCATGGTCGACTTCCCCGAGGCAAAGGGCTGGGACAAGGTCTTTGCCCTCAACGTCAAGAGCCAGTTCTACCTCACCGTCGCGTGAGTATGCGGGTCGAGGCGAATGCGCCTCACATAGTCGAGGCGAGAGGCTATGTCCATCTGCTGACGCCTCTTCCTTCCCCTCCCCGACGTTTTGACCTGCCATCGCGGCCACAGCCTGCTGCCGCTGCTTGAAAAGGGCAAGAGCAACGTCGACCCCGCCTCGGTCATCAACATTGCCTCGACCGCCGCCATCTCGCCCCTGGCCGAGGGCGGCCTCTCTGCCGAGGGAAGCGGAACCTACTCCTGTGCGTGTCGTCGAGTATTCTCCCCTTAAGCGGCTCTGATGATACCTGCCTCTTTGTCCCGACTGCTGACGTCGTTGCCTCTCTCCCTCTCTCTCCTCGCTCCTCGCTCCTCGCTCCTCGCCCTTGGACCGCGCCCCTTTCTCGCAGACCAACCGTCCAAGGCGGCGTCGCTGCACCTGACGCGCGTGCTGGCCAACTCGCTGGCGCCCAAGTTTATCACGGTCAACGCCATCTGCCCGGGCGTGTTCCCGTCGCGCATGACGGCCTACGGCCTCGAGGAGAACCGCGACGTTCTCGAGTCGATCCAGCCCACGGGCCGCGTGGGCACGCCCGAGGACATTGGCGGCCTCGCCATCTTCCTGGCCTCGCGCGCCGGCGCCCACTGCACGGGCACGGGCATCGTCGTCGACGGCGGCCAGAGCCTCCAGTTTGTCCCCCGTCTCTAGATTCCATCTCGATGCTGACGCGACGTCTGGCGAGGCCGTGGCTCTGAGCCGCTGCGCTCGGCGGTAGGCGCGCCGGCCAAAGACGATGCGAGGTTATAAAAAGGAGAAATGCAGAAGTGCAGAATGCGATATGAATACAGAGGGGAGAAGGGGAGAGAAGAGAAGAGGGCGTGTCGAGCTGGGTTGAGCCGAAGGCGAAGGACGCTCAGTGGTCGCTATCGGCATAGTATCTGCGCTTGAGGGTGCGGTACTTTTTCAACGAATAGAGCGTCTCGGTCTCTGCGTGGTGCGACCGAGGGGATAGGAGGAAAACACGTGGCAAGGTGAGTCGATCGCGGTCCGAAGCAGCTCTCGTTCAGCTGAATGGACCGTCCGTTCCCCGCAACGAGGAGCATCGTGTATCGACGGTGCTCATCGTGTATCGACGGTGCTCATCGCGCTCCACTGTGCTGTGCGGTGGGCCGCCTGAGCCAGAGTGTCCAAACAGACAGGATCGACAGACAGCATCGACAGACAAACACACGGGGAGACGGAGCGGACCTCACCTTTGGCGACAAACTCGGCGAGTTTGAGCTTCTCCTCGACCTGGTGCATATCGGTGAGGGCGGCGTTTTTGGCAAACATGCTTCGCAGCTTGCCGAGGAAGTTGTACGACGGGTCCGGGTAGGAGCGTCCTAGCCTGTGCAGCTGTTTCGCGATGCGAAGCAGCGGAATGGCCGGGAGGGAGAGGCGGGGGGAGGGCAAGGGGTCAGTGTCGGGACCAGGAGGGACGATGGGGTAACGAGGAGGGGATGAGGAGCGAGGGAGGGCAACGTACGTGCTTGTACAGTCCGATCGCTCTTGGTCTCAGCGGATGGCCTAGTGGTGGCATCGTCGCGTGTTCGCAATGGCGGGTGGAGATGGGAGAGCGGGATGGTGAAGATGGTGGTGAGGTTGGTGCTCGGGATGGGGAGGTGGCGAGGAGGTGGACCCCGGCTGACCGGGATTTCGGTCAGCGCTGTTGAGGCTGCTGCCGGGATGGGCATGGCATGCCCTGGCACCTCCCTCGTGATTGCGGGGGGCGAGGGAAGCGCAGGGCTGGGCAGGGAAGGGAAGGGAGGGCAGGCGCGCTGGGCTTGACTGACCCTCCACACCAATTTGGAGCAACCAGGGCCGCCAGCAAGGGGAAAAAACGTCGCCCCATTCCTCACCACCACGACCACGTTGCCATCACCGACACCCGCATCCGAACGCTTCGCTCCGCCCTGTCACCAGCCACCAGCCACCAGCAGCGACCATCAGCACCAGCAGCGACCACCAGACCATGTCCAGAACGGCGACAGACGCAGACGAAGCGACGCCCTCGGAGACGTCAGCTGCGCTGTTACGCTCCCGCACCTTTCTCACGACGCGGCTCCTCCCCGACCTCGATGGGGCTCAGACGCGCCTCGATGCCATCCTGGCCGAGATTGCAGCGTACCAAGATCTGCGGAATACGCTGAGGTCTTTGGATCCCGACCTCGCTCAAACCACACCACAAAAGGGAGCAGAGGAGAAGAGCAAGGGCAAGGTGGAGAAGAAGGCGATTGCGGAAGTGGGTCAGGGCATACTCGTCCAGACGAACCTGTACGTTTCCCCACCCCTCTTGCCCTCTCTCCTCGGCCGGGCTCGAGAAGATGAATGAGGTACAGCGCAACCTGAATTACGGTAACCCCTTCTTCCTCTGCTCTCCCCCCGCACGGCTGCACCTCGTCGCCAGACAAATGGAAAAGGACCCGCTCGTCTCGCTCGGTCTAGGCGGCTTCTACGCCCAACTCTCCAACCGACAGGCCAGAGCGTTTATCACCAAGCGCCTAGAGATCCTAGACAGGTGCGCCCGTCCGCCCGTCCGCCCGTCCGCCCGTCCGCCGTTCCACCCCTCACCCGCATTCATGCCGCCTCATCGTACCTCGAAAGGCAGGGCTGACGATTCCCACCCTCCTTTGCGGCGCAGGAAAAAGGACCTGGCCTTCGACAAGGTCGCCCAGATCGAGGCTCATGTCCACCTCGTGAGTCCCTCCATCCGCACCGCCAGTCCGTCTCGTCATATTCGTCGTCGTCATCGCGCGAGGGCTGACGTCTCTTTTTCTCGCCCCTCGCTCGCCCCGCAGACCTCGACGTCGATATCGCAGCTCGACAATCTCTTCCGTGGCGGAAGCATCGTCGACGACCTCTGAAAATCAAAGGGAAAACAACATTGCCGTCTGCGCTCCAGCGTGGTGCGGCGCAGTCTTCTATACTCCATGATGGGACGCAACGGTGCGGTCCGAATACACCCTCTGGGGCCGCCGCCGTACGAGGCTACTACTTGCGCTTCTTGGGCCCGTCGACGACCCTGGCCCTCTGCTGGTGCTTCTGCGCCTCGGCCTGGGTGCGGCGGTCGTACTCGTCGTCCTTGTAGAGCAGGCTGTTGAGGTCGCCCGTCTGGACGGCCTTCATGCGGCGCTCCATGGCCTTCTGGCTTTCGGCCACCTCGCGCTGCGTGTCCGGGTCGAGCATGGCGCTGAGCTTGGGCAGGAACAGGACCAGGGCGATGCCGACGCCCGCCAGCAGCAGCATGGGCGTGCCGATGCCCAGCATCGAGGACAGGTTGAAAGGCTGCGGCGTCGTGAAGAAGTCAAAGCGGCGCGTCGAGTGGAGAATGAGCGGGTGCAACAGCAGAGACGACGACGGGAGCAGCAGCAGCGAGCTGAGCGAGGTGCCACTGCGCCGGCGGGCGTGGAGAGAAGAGGCAGAGAGGCGAGAGGAAGAGGGCAAAAGAGGGTTCAGCCAAGCTGACGATGCGAGTGCGCTGCGGCAGCGGTATCGCCATCACTTCGACGACTCACGGCGTAAAGACGCGGATCCTAGGCGAGAGCCTGGTCGACTCGTCGGGCACATCGACGCGGAACTTTGCAAAGTCATTGGTGCGGCTGACGACCTCGAGGGTGTAGCTGCCGGTGGCGACCGAGTGGAAGATGAAGCTGCCGTCGCTCTTGACGAGGGTGGTGCGGTCGACGGGCGTCTCGCCCTGCTTGACGTAGACGCGGGCCTTTTTGGCGATCTGCTCCGCCTGCGATGGCGCCGCCGCTGCCTCTGTTGCCGGTGCGCCGCCCTCAACAGCGGGTGCGGCAGGCGTAGCAGCGGCGGGAGCGGGAGCGGGAACGTCGGGCAGAGGGATGTGGCGGAGGAAGACGCGGGTGTTTGCGCCGAGGAAGGAGAGGTCGGGCAGCTCATTGTTGGGCTGGATCTGGCCGCGCACGTCCTGGGCTGCCAGGACACCGGTGCTGGCGGCCAGCCCGAGCAGGCCGAGCAGCAGCAGCAGCAGCGGCGGCGACGGCAGCGGCCGCGTAGAGGAAGGCGTGCGGCGAGATGGCATGGTCGCAGGGGATGGGCCGAGGAGGAGGTAGCGAGGGCACTGTGGTGGGGGTTGAAGGCGAAAGGGGTCCAGCGCGGCCAAGAAGGACGAAGGACGAGGACCCAGCGCCCCCTGTGGGTGGTCCGTGGGCCTTCCCCCTGCCTCTCTCGGGCGAGTGATTGGCGACCAAAAAATGGGGAAAAGTCAGCTGAGGCAAGCCAGAGCCAGAGCCAGGGTCTGGCCTAGACGGGGCAAACGCGGCGAGCGGGTCGAACGCCGAACCACCTCGAGCTGGCTCGAGGCGTGCAGGCCAAGCCGAGCTCAAAATTCGGGCCATCGGCCTAGCTTGGCCGCACCGCGCACAGCAACACCTGCCTGCCTGCCTCAACCCTGACCCACGCCCACGCCCGCGCCCGCGGAATTTTTGCCACACAGAGGGCGACAGGCAGGCAGGCAGGCAGGCGTTTCAGCTTGACTTCGCAGCCAGCCAGCCAGCACGCACACACGCAGTCGGCCATCCAAACCACCAACAGCAGCAGCAGCGACCCTTTGCCCCCGGTTGACCCTCCACTCCATCACCGTTCCCCTAGGCCCGCGCTCATCTCTCCTCCCTTCCACCATCACCACAGTCGCCATCACCACCGCAGTCACAGGCACCACCCATCATTTCAGCCCTTCAGCGCTCTCAGTGACTGCCCTTTCGCCGCATCGCCCGCCGCACCCCCAACCCCCTGGGCACTTCCTCCCTTTCTCGCCCGTCCCTCCCCTCTCTCTTAGCGACCGTCCTCAAGCCACTCATGTCGTCGGCTCCTGCCGCCACTGCCGCCGCCGTGTCGG